TTAGATTTATAGAGATGTTCCAAACTTTTGCCAGTCCGATGATGTTTGCGCAATGCATCGAAACATTATTTGTCATTTGTTTGGTTTCATTCGAAGCATCAGCGATTAAATTTACGGTACGATTTAATCTACTGGTGTATTTGGTTTATGGATATTTCATTGCATTTTACATACATTTTGTGTGTTTCTATCTGAAGTTTTGACAATTAAAATACAAAATCCAACAGATGGACAAAAATAATATATTTGCATTGTTCAAACTGTTCGGATATTTCTTAGCCGCTTCTTTACAATTGGGCTCCTTTTGTTTCATCGCCACTCGAGTTGAACACTTGGTTAGTTGTATACACTAAACTACTGAATGTTCTAAAAATTCATCTTTTTATAACGAATTCGTAAAAATTTTCCAAATAAAATCTACGCAGTAAAATATTGAAATTTTTAAAAGTCAAAAGTATTGTTATATTAATTTCAACCTGTTGTATTTTACTTCAGGCATCACAAATTCATCATTCAATATATTCCTGCGGATGGGAGATTATGATTTTCGAACAGAAGGAAGAACTGTGTACCAAGAAGCAATTTAAGTGCAACGATATTAATCAATTAGTACAGATGATAATGACACAAGCACAGAGACCGATTATCTTGACTGGCGGTCCGTTTTACGTACTTTCAATGGAAACTTTCAGAGCCGTAAGCAATCCGAAATTTGTCCATATCTTGGGTCTTATTCTATTCCCGTAGATCCGTAGATCTTTAACATAATCTGGGAAAAATTTCTTGTATACAAGTGTGCGATAATTTTCTCGGGATCACACACATATATACATATAACAAATAATTGCAAATTTTCCTCTTAAATACATGTGTACAATTTATGTTACAGATCCTTAGTCTGGCATTGTCAAACTCCATAATGTTACGTCAACTCTCTAGTCAGAATGAGTGAATAAAAGGCAGCAGCTGCTTATCATTATCAAAAACAAATCATTACATTTGTAATACAAAAGACAATTATAAATATCTTTCCATATGATACTGAAATTATACAAGCACTATGTATATATGATAGTTCGATAGAGGATAATATATTCCATAAATTATACAAAACGTGTCAATAAGATTCTTGGGCATCAGTCGGTGGCCCAAATCTCATGGCACGAAGGAACTTTTAAAAACTCGGCGAATCTATCGAGGTCGACGAGTAATCTGTCAGCGGCACCTGGGATACGTCTTCCTTCAGAGCTCTTCTCGTCACGATTGTCCAGGATATCCTGCAGAAATTCCTTGATCCATTCCAGTATATTTCCTCGTGTCCGATTTATCACAAGATTTTCTTTCTACGGGAGTTTCCACATTAATTTTTACCGTCAACGCTTCGATTCCGCGTAACGACGATCCCCGATAGCTCTCGATCGAGAAAGCGCATTATTTTTGTAGCCTGTATCGTCAGCTGCAGCCGGCACTTATTACCAGTCCCCATGGTACAATTTTATCGTACAGTATGGCGGAATGTCCTTCGCAACTCTGTCGGGTATCGTAAATATCTTAGATTACGGTATTCGTTGTTCGTGATTTGAAGGATCACGACATATGCCGACTCACGCTGCTCGATTAAATCGACAAATCTCACGAGAAGCAATGCTTCGGCCTCGTCTTGCGATCGCGGCGTATTTTTCGCGGTGACTTGAACAGTTTCTCAGATAAGTCGTCACATCCTTTTATTTCATTCTGTTCTTTTTTTCCCCTTTCCAAGTAATATGCAAATCACTGCTACCCATCCTTTTTCTCGGCAAGGAGACGCGGTGTTAACTCGAAAACCAAATTGAATACAAGTTGAATAATTATACAACCGTGTAAATAATTGTCGGTAACTTCTTTCTGTTTCACTACTTCTCTTTCAACAAACTCGCTCCGTCGAGGCCCGCCGCTTTCGTAATTCGGGGATTTTCGAATTTCTTCTCGTGTTTGTCGGTAGCTGAACTTTCAGTCCCGTCAGAATTACAGCCAGCTTGCGTTTCCCACGATGATTTACCTTTGTGCAATGCATGGAAACGATGTGAACTTTTCTCGAGTAAATGTTCATCAGCGTGTAAAGGACGTTACGTAACGAAGCGTCGTATTACGCGCCCGTACGTACGTATGCAAATCGAAAAATATATACAGTCGTAATAAGTACTCATAGATACATCAGCGACAGATTTCAATTAGATTCGGCCGAGCACGATTCGCCTCTCGTCCAATACAGTTAACGCGATACTATCGGCAAGCGGAACTCGAGCGTCCAAGGACCAAGCAGGGGGCAGCAGGAGGAATCCGGCGACCTTATTTCCGGGTAGCTCTCGGAAGCGTGTAATTGGATATAAGTTTTACGCCTTATAAGTTTCACGCCGAAACTTATACTTGATGCTTCGCGCCTGCCGCCTAAGTCGCGGCAAAAGTTTATGCGGCACTTAATTAGAGAATATATCCAATGCACGCTGCAAATGCTATTTGCATTTCAAATAGAACGATGCAGTGACACGTTGGTGACATTTATTTGCTGGGAAAGGAAACCGTGTCCCACGCATCCCGGAAGCTTTAATATAACTTACCCTTAAATATAAGGTTGCTCGCGTATACGATTGTTCTATGGGCCTGCACGAAGCGCACGCGATATATCCGAGCAGGAATGACGGGTTGCGGTAGATTGTCGCTTTGAACGATCTACAATCGACGGCGAAATACGAGATCTATTTGTAATTTGCCATGCAATATAATTGCACGTACAGCCGTGACAGTGGATTTTATTTTTCTTTCTGTTATTGTGACGTCTTCTCTTTCTACGAGCAAAGCTCTCCTCTGAATTCAAACTTCTCTGAAATTTTACCGCAAATTTTCAATCGTCTTAAACGACCTCGAGAGACCGTCGTGAGAACAATTGATCTATCATGTTTGATTTATCGTATGAATTAATCGTTTAAATTATCGTGAGAAATTCTCCCTTCAAGGTCTTCCCTAAATTCTTTTCCTCATTGACTTCTTAGGCGGCGGAACATTTTTTATCTCACCCAGAACTTTTTGTTCTGTACACTTTTTTTTTATTTGACGGTCGCACACAAATCATGAACGCGTTTGTCGCTCGTATCATATCGTTCCTTACTGATAAAGTGACAATCTGTCGTGCGATCTTAACCGAACTATATGTGTACACGCATGTATGTAATTCTCAGGTCGCCTGTCGTAACATACGTAATTGTCCGTTGTACATGTATCCGGGGAATATGCGAAACAAGAGCAGAATTATCCTTCACGTACTCGCACGTAACCACTATCATGCCTTGCTTGCGCGAACGAATCGCGACTGGACGTTCTTATGCGACGATCGTGCTCCGTGATTTTTCAGGTATAACCACCTGTGCCAGGCATGAATTGGAAGAGTCAGGATGACGAAGCATGCAAGGGAGAACACGCGTTGTCCATCACACATTGCATCCCGTTCCTGCTGGCAGCACTGAAATACGCCCAAGTGTAGCCCGCTAAGTCATTCCCGATGTGTAAAATAATGCTCTTAATGGGCTTAGTGGCTATCATATAGTAATAATTCCGAATCTATCGTCTCGGAAATCGCAATTATAACGAACAGAAATGCAGATGAGTTTGCTGATGTTATCGGTGCTCACTATGAACGTCGGGGGCATATTAAAATGATGTTATTGTATAACAAGAAACAAAAAGATCTTGTGATGAATTTGGAAAAGTTTGCTTTGCTAACATATCGATGATACTAATGAAGGTACGTGAATATCGTCAGGGTAAGTCAGTCGTATATTTATTTATATCGATTAGTACAAATGATGATGATGCAAGGCACAGAGACCGATTGTCACGACCGGCTGCCTATTTTATGTATTTTCAATGGAAATATTCACAGCTGTAACTAGAAATTTACGTAGAAACGAATTAAGGGAGCAAAAAAGTCCTATACAGACAAGAGTTTTACGTGTTGTTTGCAAAATGATCTAGGACTTTTTTGTTCACCTCGATCCGTTCCACTCCCTCACGAAGTTTGTCTCTATTGGACATCTTGGTATATGTTATCCGATATAATACTGAAGTCAAAACTATGTATATGATAGTGATCGATGGTAATATATTCCACAATTACAATGGCAATTTACAAAAAATAATTCTCTTTTATACATAATTTCGACGACGAAGTCTGTACGATTGAATGTTGCTATTATTAGCAGCTGTCGTATCAAATGTGAATTGTTAATAGAAACCTCCTAACCTACTTTTACTTATACTTACCTGATAAGACGCCGACCGGCAGATAATTCGCGCAGTTCGAGCGCGCACAGATACAGTGATACGCTGATTATGCTAATCCCGTGTTGTTATTAAATAATCCGAGTCTCGTCATCCGTGAGTCTCAATTATCGTGACGAGTAATGCGAGAGCTTTAAGCTTCATGAACTTTTAAAAAATTATAATTGTATTCGTTCATTCTTCATTACTGCTTGACATATTTTTGGCACACGTTTCCAGATTACCGCAGTAATAATCAAGTTATAACAAACTCGCTCGAATACATTCAATAAATTCAACCAGGCGTTTTTTACAGATGTCAACTGCATATACAGATATCAATTAGTGTTATCGCTAATCAATTACTCCCGATATTACAAGAGAATGGAATTTCCCATTCATGACTCGTGCAAAAGAGGCACAATGGGCTCTGTCTACGTGCCACAGACGGATCTTCTACGAGGATCATCTTTCGTTTTCCGTATTATTATTATTATTGTCATTATCATTATTACTATTACTACCTGCGCAAAGCATTACAACAATAACACGCCGAGCGAATATTCGGATAAAAAAAAGTACTTATTCGAATATCGGAACTCGGATATCAGGTTTACGCGCTGAAGGCGCATCGTATTATTAGACTTCGTATCGCATGCGAGCATTCCCGTTCGTTTCTCGAGGCTTGCCGCTCTGCCGCTCCCCCCCNCCCCCCCCCCCCCCCCCGCCGTTGAATCTGCCGGTCTGAAACGTGGGGCGGGAAAAAGACGGTGGGGGCGAGTACGGCCGAGTGGGGACAAAGAGAGAGGATGCCATCCACCTACAACCGTATAAGGAGCCCGCGCTTCTATCAGGGGAGCATGAGAGTACGAAAGCCGCGGGCTACTAGCTCCTACGCATGTTATCTTATCACGGCGCTACATGCCACTTCTGAGGAATATTGATTCGCGAGTGGACTCGCCGCGATCCGGTCCACCTCTCGCAGCGACATGCGTGCCTGGCAAGCAAAAGTTGAGATTAGAATGCACGTGGTCACCCTTCTGGAATTCGGTCGGTCTATAGTGACGAAGATGGGAACTCGATCGACGTCGGTGGCTACGACGACGTCGTGGCCACCGACGACGACGTCCGACGCTCTCGCGTTTCGTACCTGGACGCAAGCGGTGATATCGAACTTCAACTGTTACTGTTATTCACCTGGAAGGATCGCCGATATATTTACGCCGGCGCTTTTATCACTCCACGTTGCGACGTGGAGCGACGTGCTCGCCGTTGGATCTTGACAAGGGCATGCGGCGAAAGGATACACCTGTTTCGTCTCATCACCGCCGTTGATAATTCAAATTAATTAACACTTTTACTTTGTCAGATTTAATTTATCTCATCTCTCGCTTGCCACGTCGGCCCTTTATCGCATCGCTCGAGTGAAACGAGAACCTCGGGAAGGTACGAGGGAACGAGACGTGATCTCTTATCGTCGAGCAAGCGAGAGACGATCAGCTTTCCTCGAGGTGCGCGCGCGTCTCGCCGAGTTCGCGGGAATTCGTACAGCCAGGTGTAGCTTCGCGCATTGTGTCATACGTAAGAATATGTTCGCGACTAGGTTGGCGGGCTAGGTTTTTCACGATTCTTGGCCCGCCATGATCGCCTGGTCGCGTATCCGCGGCTCGCGAAGTCCTTGCGGCGACATTACGCGTCGTTTCACGTTGCTCCGACGGTCGGCGGCGCGTCATCGTTAGCCGTCAAAGGTGCTATTGAAAAAGACGAGGGCTGGTCTTTCGTCGCGCGATTACGTCTCGATGCACACGTACGTATCGTTAACACTCGCCAAGACTCCTCACCTGCCCATCAAAAGACGTAAAGTCATCCACATTGGCCAACCGCGGAGCCGGGGAACATACGGCCGAGGAGACGTCCGACCGGCCGCGGTGCAGCCGCGCCGTCGACGATGCGCGCACACACCAGTCGCGCTCGCATGTTCTCTTCGTCGTTACTTGGCGAAATGTGGACGCCTTTCGGGAACTGTTTTTCTTGGCACCCTGAAGTGTACCCCGGGCGCGACTGATCGCCCGTAAGGGCGTATCGCGACCGACGAGAACACGCGGGACCTTGACGAAGTTCACAAGCGCGCGGCTGTTGAACCGGGTTTACCCGCGGGTTTCGCCGGTAGGTAAAGCCGATACCTGTTCACGGAGGTTTCCTTGCCGTCGACGCGTCTCACCTTCCCAACTGAAGCTAACAGGACGATAATAACGATGGGATCCCGAAAATATTATCGGGCAAACAGCGGGGCGCTCTGAAGTCTCTCGTGAGATTTTTGCGATCTCGATGATTAATAATGCGATCGACATTCGCTTGATTTCTCATCACCGGCTTATTACTTTTTCATAGTTGAAAAGCGTGTGAAACGGTGGTTAGATTAGACTTGAAATGTTTGAGCGAACTGAAACTACTGTATAACGAATAATTGAGATTAGAAAGCGACTAATCTTCCTCGTCGCTGATTATTACGCGAGATGATTTAGGTCGTCCCGATCGCACGTCGGACGTCGACGCCTCGTCATCGCTGATCACCATGCGAACGCCCTTTTCCCCGATATTTTCATCCCTCAGCGATCCCGTCTCATCGTCGCTGTCGAGTAACCGACGTTTCTTCTTCAACGGTTCAGCCGTATCGGAAGAATCGGACGTGTTTCTTTCCACTTGGCTGATATCTGCAAAATACACGGGAAACCTTGATCTTGACGCGGCTCGCTAAGTGTCAATTGATTCTTGGTTCTTATCAGCACACGTTACTGACCGTTTTTATCATCGACGTTCCTTTCGATCTCCATTTCGGATTCGGAGGAATCGTCAAGTATGATCGCACGACTTCTCGCTTTGCTCTCAGCATTTTCTGAAATTGTCGCGTAAAAGTTATCGCGTGACTGTTGAAATTTCGAACCGGCTCGTCGTACCGGTGAAACTATTTCGCTCGTCGGTAAATTCACGCTGAAGAAAAAGCGGCTCGCCGGTTTACGTGCTCGAATGACAGAGGGCGAGAAAGTGTAATCCTCGTTCCCTGGAAAAAAAAGTACCAGTTGATAACGACATACCTGCGCTGATTTTTCCCACAACTTCGGCATCGTCGTTTTCCTCGTGCAGCATCGGAGACCCCTTGGATTTTTTATGTAATTGCGTTTCGACAATCGGTTCTGATTGTCTGGAAGTTGACGGCACTGGTTCTGAAAGCAGCTCGATTTCGACAGATTCCTACTGTACTTCACGTACAAATAATCACACATGCTACAACTATGCGCACAACAGAACATGTTGAATAATATTTCACGAAAAACGAAAGACTGAACAAAGACTTTCCAGAAGCGGATGTTTGCAGGTGCGAACTCGAATTTCTCAACGTCTCAATCGTCAGATCGCGCGCGCGCTCGTCGCACAACTTTTCAGACTTGAGAAAAGAATTCTACAGTGGAAATTCTTCCGATAATGTTATCGAGTTAAATGAAACGCAGCTGACCTTTAGTTGCGAAGAACTTCTTAACATTTTCAAACACGTCGGCATCGTCCTCGCTGTCGTTCAACTTCTCGTCGGTGTCGGAGTGATCTCTGCTGCGCAGTTCCGCCTGCGTATCTACAAAAGGCGCTTCGATGAGTGATCGTCATGCGCGCCGTCGTTCGCGAAAAACGTCTCGAATTCACTTACCCGCGACGACAAATTCACCGGCTAAAACATCCCCAATGAGTTTGTAACGTTTCTGAATCGTGGTTGTAAGCATATTCGCCGGGACGCGCCAATAAGATTCCTGGGCATCAGCCGGTGGCACAAATCCCATGGCACGGAGGAGCTTTTGAAAACTCGGCGAATCCATCGCGGCCGACGAGTAATCTGTCAGCGGCACCAGGGGTATGCCTTCGAAGCTCTCCTCGTCACGATCGTCCAGGATATCTTGCAGGGATTCCTTGATCCATTCCAGCGCCTCCCTCATGTCTGATTTATCACGAGATTTTTTTTTCCACGGGATTTTTCACATTAATTTTTACCGTCAACGCTGCGATTCCGCAATGACGGCGATCCCCCGATCGCTCTCAATCGAGAGGANAGAGAGAGAGAGAGAGAGAGAGAGAGAGAGAGAGAGAGAGAAAGAGAGCGTTATTTTTTTAGCACATATCGTTAGCTGCTGTCAGCGCATATTATCAGTTCGCGCGTTGCCTCGTTATTATACGCGGGGTTCGCGGATATTTCACGATGCGAATTTTATCGCACAGCATCGCGGTGTTGTTTCGCAACTCTGTCGTAAATATCGTAGATAGGTATTCGTTGTTCGCGAGTTGAAGGATCGCGATATACGCGGACTCGCGCGGCTCGATTAAATCGACAAATCTCGCGAGAAGCAATCGGCCCCGTTTGAGAATCGCGGCATATTTCTCGCGGTGACTTGAGAAACAGTTTCTCCGACAAGTCATTACTTCCTTTTTTCTCGTGCCGTTCTTTTTTTGCTCTTTTCACGTAATGGCTCCTGCAAATCATCGCCATCCATCCCTTTCTCCAGCCGCGGGGAACATTTATCCTTACGTGTGACGTAGACGAGGGATAACGTTGCACGCGCCGCGCGCTTCAGCGACGAGTGCGCATTCATTAATCATAAGAAGGCGGATGCACGTCGGAAGGAGCCGAGAGAGAGAGAGAGAGAGAGAGGGGAAGAGGGAGAGGGGGGAGAGAAAGAGTGAGAGAGCAGCGATACTTACTTCTGTCGATGACGTCCTTCAAGAGGCCGAATAATTGTGCATCCGTGTAAACGATCGTCGGTAGCTTCCTCCTGTTTCGCTGCTTCTTTTTCGTCGGCTCGCTCCGTCGAGGCGCGCCGCCGTCGCGCTTCGAGGATTTTCGAGTTTCTTCTTCGTCTTCGTCGGTGGCTGAACTTTCGTTCCCGTCAGAATTACTGGCAGCTTGCGTTTCCCACGACGATTTACCTTTGCGCACAATGCATGGAAACGATGTGAACCTTTCTCGAGCGAGCGTTCATCAGCGTGTGTAAAGCACGTTACGTAGTAGCGTCGCGTTGCGCGCTCGTACATGCGTATTCGTTCGCGTGTGTGTACGAAGCATTTCACGTAACATTAAATCTCAAGCGCGATATATATATATATATATATATATATGTGCCGAAGCTCGTGCCAAATCTATAATATATCGAACGACGAATTGAAATCTTTTCTCTGAATCTCTCGCGTTAAAAGTACGCATGTCCGCGAATTACACAATCCATCGCTAAATTTAAAGAGGATTTTCTGGTTGCAGGCTTGATAAATGGGGTTTTTTGGGATTTTATTTTTCAGAAACCATTACTTCGTTCGATTTGAAATTTTGTGAGTACATTTATTTGCATTTTCCATAGCAAATTAATTTTTTTCAAAAATTAATATATATATTGTCTCGTTGCCGAGTCACAGGTCGCAACAATTCACTCTTGCGACAGTCTTCTGTTGATATAACGAAACCTATTTCTATTAATTGATCGCGTGTCAGCTTCTTCCGAGTTTCACATCAGATACGATAAAAGTCTATATAGATTATAATGGCGGGATATTCGATAAGTTAAATTTGATGAGATAAATTTGCTGTGTGGAACAACTGTATTTGTTCTCAGATAGTCCCATATGGGGGGCGAAATTGCATCAAAACATGACGCAGAGGGAAAATATTATTTCAAAGACACATATAAGGCAAACTTCTCGGCAATGCTTCATCTCACAGTTGTATATCTACGATACGAGGTATCTCAATGCATTGAATACAAATAAGGCATGAGAGAGGGAAAACAATATCCATGATAAATATGAAATTCCTCCCGGCACCATAATAGGAAGCTAAGGTGAGTGATATTGGTCCAAGAGCGAAGAAAGTGCGACTGGAATTCGCAGTTGCCGATATTAAATTACGAGATTTCATATACCACGATGATATTAACGAACTCTAAACACGTAACTGGACAATGTGCGGAAAATATTATTTCAAGTATTCTTCTTGGAAGAGATTGGACAACGTGAGTTTGTTTGAATAATTAGCGACGTATTGACGTTGACGTGCAAGATAGGAAAAAAAAGAACACTGTAAAATACTGCAAAATATTGTAATACTGTAAAAATGTTTTCGAGTTTTAAATTTTGCCCTCCCTCGGATAACAGTAGAATAATGTATATTCTATGATTGATTACCTTATAAATTCTCTCTTTCGTCGCGGTAATTAATTTCTAATGTAAACGTGACGGAAAAAAAAATGAAAAGTTCCTCGACAGCGATTTAAAAAAATGAATTTATGTATACACGTATTCATTTCATGTACACGTGTTAAGAAATCATGTAAAGCGTGATGTTATTATCGTTCGTCGCCACAAACAAGTGCGAGCGGATATTTCGGAAAGAACGACCGCACACGTGTTGTTATCCTTTACATGGTTGCATAAAAGATAACAATATATCGCGGATATATACGTTCGGCAGTTCGATACAGTTAAACCACCAGAATAGTATCCGGTTCACAGCGCATTCCAATTCTATATAATTTCAACCGCGCAAATTACTGCATAACCCGCGCGCAAACAGGGATTTAATATGAAAATACACAAATACATGTACCGTGATTTTCGAAATTGTGCGATGTTTCCGATATACGTGCCGGGATACCCGATTTCGCAAATTACACCTCTTGCGCGTACGTAGTCGAAACGTTTAATTTTCAAATCGATACTTCGAAAGATACCGATCCGTCGTAATATTAAACATTCCGCTCTATTCCGTGCGCGCGTATAAAGTGAGATACCTTCACCATCACAGCGCTACAGAGAGAAAGAAAAAGAGAGAGAATCAAAGAGCAGAATAATTCGNAATAAACCCCCCCCCCCTCCCTTCCGCCGCAGAAACGCTCCACTCTCGGGGGAACAGCAGAGGAAAACAGAAATGATCTCGCAAACATACGAGCGGACTTGTCTCCGTTGGTAATATCGGCGGAAGGGTCCTTTTCTTTTTTCTCTCTCTTTTTTTTTTCTTTCGTAAGAAATCGGAAGGAGAGAGCGAGAAGAGTCCTGTACAAATTGATCTTTGCTCCTTCTCGTTCCCTCCCTCTTGTCTTCTCCGCCTCGCGTCGTTCCGCTCCCCTCGTTGAAAACGAGTCGCTCTATGCAGTCGCCGGCAATCGCGTTACTAGAAGACTGATCGAATGGGAATAGTCGCGGAATCGGAGGATAGTAAGAAAGACAGATGCGAATGGAATGGGATGGGATTGGCCGGAACAAGGGGTGCTTCAGACCGGATCGTGATGAGGGAAGAACGAATGGTACACACTCACCCTGGTTGCTTTTTCTGGCTCGCTTTTTGCGCAGCTCCTTGCGATCCTGCGCCAATCCTAATTCCAAAAGCCTCTCCTTGATCTTCGGCTTCGGCCGCTTTATTCTAAGACCGGTGAAAATCAAATCCACCGGGTCTGTCGAGAAGAACACACGATGTAGTTTCGATTTTTACAGCGTCGTCGGCAGGCGCGCCGCAGCGCGGACGACGATAGG